GGATACGAGAGGACTTACACCTGTTTTTTAAAGCTCTGACAGAAATCAGGTAATTAAATTTTGGGCATGAGAATTTTATGAATAAGTAGTATTTTAAAAATGGATAAACAGAGATTGGACTTATATATTACAAAGAAATTCAGGAAAAAAGTTAATAGCTATGCAAAGTGAGGTGGTTTTTAGGGTTCTTATATACGTGTGAAGGAATTGTTGATCTATCTCCACATGCATTTTAATATATAGATAATTACGTCTGGTTCATATTTGAAGCATGTGTAAATCTAACGGAAGGCAAATATCGTGGACATAGCATATGAGACTTCCTATAACCAAACAGTCAAATACTATACTTTTTTTTTTTAATCATAGTGCCTTAATCCTAGCAATTGTGAGGAGCACTGCATCATCTTCTACCATGTTTTTGGCTATCCTATTAGGAGCTATTCTGAATAAATATATACGCTAGATAGGATAGGTGTAGTTCATCTGAGGAGGGGTAAAAAAATCTCTTTTATTTATTTTTTAATAGGGTCTCGACTTTAGATTAATTTCCTGAAACTCTTTGACTTGTGTTTCCTGCAGAAGTCTCAGTGTTTGTTTTACGTAAAGATGATTGCTTTGGAGAATATAATGCTTGGCAATTTTTGAGTGCATTGGAAGATAAAGAAGTAAGAAAATGACTCAAGAGGAAGGATTTTTGCAGCAAGGGCAGAGTTAGAAGAGGTTTGTAGCAGGTGAAGTGCGCTTTGTGATCTCGCAATAGGGTTTTGAGCAATTTCACTTATGCACGCGTGGCCACAAAATTCGACTGCATTTGTAGTTTTGTTTGTTTCATATACTTCAGGATAGTTACATTTGATTGTTGACTTCAGATAGATGATTGTGCTAGATTTGTTTTCAAACCTTCAACGTGAGCTTAATATGATCTATCCTCTGATTTTTTAGTAGGTTTTATTGCTTTATTATATCTCCCATTTATTCATGTTGCATTGCTTCCTTATTCTTAGATATGGGAGGAGACGCCGGTCTCATTTTATTCATTTATAGCTGAATATATTCAAATAAATGTTCTCTATTCTGCAATTTTTCTTTCTTATTCAGTTCATAAACCTCAAGTTTCGAGTCTTCAAACTATTTTGAAAGTGCATGGAGTTTCACACGTAATTCGTAAGTGTAACTTCAATGTAATCGAAACAAAAGATCAAAGTGATTTTCCTCCATTTTCCCGGTAAGTTGATGGCATTACACTAATGACCAATGTCTCTCTAGTGTAGCAATCACTCAGGTATTTGAAGATCAAATTGTTGGTATCCCCTCTTTTTCAACGAACTTCACATGACTCCAATCTTTGTTGTGTGAATATTTCAATATTTGTAAGGCATGGGGTTTGTTAAAATGAGCTTTAAATACATATGAACAACAATTTGGGCATGGGGTTACTTTATACAGTTGCAGAGTTGTGTACAGAATTTACACACAGAAAATTGTTTAAACGCCTGCAAATGTACAATTTAAGACCTCGTCGAATCAAATGCAATGTATTTATCAAAAATGTTATGCAAAGCATTGTTGTAATCTATTTCTAGCATTGTTGTAATCTATTTCTATCTGGTATTGTTGTTTTTTGGTTCAATACACTTGTTTGTCACTTCAAGCACCAATTTTCAAAGCATTGTCGTAATCTATTTCTACCTGGTATTGTTGTTTTTTTCTTTCAACGCACTTGTTTGTCACTTCAAGCACCAATTTTTCAACTTCTAGTTCGTATTCAATCGTCTCTATGCCATGGGTTAGAAGAATCCGTGAAATTTATGAGATTTTGTTGTACGTGCATAACGAATAAATGAATGAAAGAGTATAAATAAAAAGAATATATTTAAAAAATTTTATTCAATCAGCATATTGACTTCATAAGAAGCTATGATGTACTTTACAAGAAATATGAGATGAAAGGTCACCATGGATGCATAAAAGGCCAAAATACGTGTGGTATACTTTTTACGCGCAAAAGTTTTTATAAGAGGCGAAATATGATTCAAGAAATTTAAATATTTCCTTAAAATTATTAGAACATATATAGACAAAAGCGGTTCTATTTCAATATTTGTAAGGCCTAAGGGTTGTGAAAATGAGCTTCAAATAGATATGAAGAACAATTTGGTCATTGGAACTATTTTATATACAGTCGCAAAGCAGTGTACAGAATTTACATAGAGAAAAGTATTTAAACACTTGCATATATACAATTGAAGTCATCGTGGAATCGAATGCAATGTATTATAAAACATGTTATGCAAAGCATTGCTGTAATCTATTTCTACCTGGATGAGTTCCTAGTATTATTATCTTTTTCATTCAACACGCATGTTTGTCACTTCAAAGCACCAATTTTTCAACTGCTAGTTCGTATTCAGGCATCTCTTATGTTATGGGTTAGAAGCATCTATGAATTTTTTGAGATTTTTCTATAGTTGCATAATGAATAAATGAATGAGAGAGTATAAATAAAAGAATTTATTTAAAAAGACTGATTTTTATAGCTATGTCATTCTCTTAAGTATATATTAAGAGAGAGATTTGAATTTCCAGGTGGTTGCATACTAAAGAAATGAATGACAAAGAAACAATAAATATATAAAAATAAATTTATTTATAGCTCATTTTTTTTAATGATAAAAAAGAGAGTGAGTGAGAGAGAGAGAGAGAGACAAATAGAGAAAGAGAGATTAAAGTACTTGTTTTGAGATTTGGCTTAAAGTAGTGCATTCATGAGGACCTTTATTTATTTATTTATATTTTTTTTGGAGATCAGCAATAATATCATATTTTTTACTGAATTTCTCTCCGATTTTAGTGCATGGCGATTTTATGTAATTTCCAACATACAATATGGCCCGCTTGTCCAAAGAGGGACGTGAATCTAGCCTCTCTGTGGGCTGTGGATGCCTGCACCTCTCATTTTTCTAGAATATGTGCTTCTAGCTCGTGACCGTCTTCCTGTAACAGTGCCTTATAAAGTCAGGAAAATTGTTTCATGTGGGCTGGACCGTATTTCTACGAATGTGATCCAGAAAGTGTAAAGCATCCATCTTAACGATGGATGCATGTAGGTGTTCCATCTAAAAACAATGGAAACTAGCGCTCCAAATATTTTCTTACTAGAATTATTATTATTAAATTTTTAAATGTATTTATTTATTCTTATTCATGATCGCCATGTTAGAGATTACATGTTTTTAAAAATTAAATCTTAAAATCCATCTCAAAAATATATTTATTAAGATGCCTGCATTTTTACATATGCGAGCTTGGCCACATGGAACTGGTTCCAAGCTATAAAGTTTCCTTATAAACTGTATTCCAAAATTTCATAAAGTTTCCTTATAAATTGTATTCCAAAATTTCATAAAGTTTCCTTACAAACTGTATTCCAAAATTTCATACTCTAAATAACTCTTGAAGAGAGTATACGTACTGAAAGTTATTGATCCCAGGGGAGTATGAAAGTTATTGAACAATCACACCTAAAATTAAGGTTCTATGTTCTTACAGGACCGTAAAACATTCCTTACAAATCCTAAGTAAACAATAAAAGTGAGCGCGTATATTATGTTATACTCCTTTGGGAGTGTATTGTATACTTACTCCCTCAGAGCAGAGGATTAATTTTGGAAGATCTTTCCCTACGAAGTATAGAGAAATACCTAAAAACATTAGATGATTATATTAAAAAATTGATTTTTGAATTTTCTAGGCCCTTGCTATGCGATGGTAAGGCATTTTTTTTATTTTTCAAGTCCATAGTGATTGTAATTTGGAAGTTTTATTGAGCATGGTGTCTAAAATGCTGAGTCCTAAAAATACTCCTGGATTGGGTTTTGCGGCCCCAAAGGAGTGAATAGACAATATCCTTTTTTGAGAGCATGAAATCTTCCGGAGATTGAAAATCCGAAGGTACTATGCCAATTGATGATTTCCGATTATCAATATCTCTAATCATCCTTTTTAAAGTTATTTTCAAAAAAAAAAAGAAGCTGAAGTCACTTTGATTATTGAAAATCTAAAGTCACTATTGACTTTGGATTTTGAGTATCGAAAGCTGCATAAAAATCCAAATCAAGAGTATCTTCATATATTAAAAAATTCAAGAGTAACTTGAGATTTTCAATATTTGAATTTTGAAATAATTTTGATATTTTCCTAAAAATATCTCTAAAACAAATAATATGACTATAAATATTCATTTATTATGACTTTGGATTTTCAATCTCTAATGTCAAGATAAAATAAAAAAATGAAAAACTAACCCAAAAAAAAGAAAAATATCACACGTTATATAAAAGAGATATCGCAATTGCAATATACACAATATAACATCCCAAAGGCACTATATAAGGGGGTGTGGTTTTTATAAGGCTCATACTCTAAACAATCAAACTATGACGCACCTGCAAATGGTGCTGAGGAATGCTGTTTTAGTATAAAAAATCATTATAATGGTCTAAAAATTTATTTTAACCTCTAACTATAAAATTTAATGATTAAAAAACAGTGTAGATCAAGCATATTTATTAACACTTGAAAATCAACAGTCAAGACTCTAGATAATATATTATAAGATAGAAAAAGTTTATATAAGGATGCAACCTTATAATGTAGAACTACAGATGCACCTCAAGAATCCATCGGAAAAAGAAGTTTTAATGTTGAAAAACCCTTTGATTGATCATTTTCACATTGAGATGTATGACCATGAAAAATAAAAAGATTTTAAGTCTAAAAAATAATGCATTTGACAACATATTATCTACACCATCTATTTTCAAGAGTTTCATATGTTTATAGATTTACTTAGATTTTAACTATTTTTAAAATTTTAAATTTTATAATACAAAATTTAAAATTTATTTATTTTATCATGTCCATAAATCTTAGATAGAGATGATGAAATTGAGAGACTTTCAACATCAAAACAACCTCAAGTTTTGAAGTGAGTTTATGCGATAAAAAATAAACCCAAACTCTCTGATCACCCTCGTTCAGCAGAATCACAGGTGCACCAAACACTGAAACCAAAGCCACTTTAATATTAGGTTAGACTCCTCAAACCCAAACAGAGATTGCCGCCACAAATAGGGAGCACCTCCTTCTCGCTCTCTAAAACCCTAGCCCCTCTTATCTTGACTTGAAACCCATGTCTGAGAACAATGACGATGCCATGGCAACGCTTGTTTCCAACCCTCAAGCGGAGCTCGAGGCTTCAGACTGTTGCAGGAAACGAAAACCAGAGGCCCCATTACCCCCCGAGCCGGAGAAAAACCCTAAATTTACCGATTCGCTCTCGATAAAGAAAGTACACAAGGAAGAAGCAGAAGAAAAAGAAAGAGTAGAAGCGAAAGAGGAAGAAGGAGAAGAATGCATAGAGAGAGAGGAGGAGGGGGTGAAGATTGTTGCCGAGCTTAAGGGGAAATGCTCTTCGGACTCTAATGGTAAGGGAAAGGCTAAAATGGGCGATAAGGGAAAGGGAAAAATGGAGGAAATTAAAAATGAAGATGACGATGATGATGGCGACGACAACGACGGTGATGATGGTTATGATGATGATAGTGAAGACTTATCAGATGATCCATTAACAGAGGTCGACCCCTCTAACATTCTACCACCCAGGGCTCGAAGGCAAGCCTCTGTTTATCCAGGGCCTTACCAGATTGATGATATTGATGATGATGATGATGATGATGATGAGGATGACGATGACGATGACCATTTGGATAGTGATGGTGATAGTGATGAAGGTGACGATGATGACGGTGATAGTGAGTGATCTTCGTGCTTAATTGAGGGTAAGAGGAAGATGAACATCCTCATATGAAGATGATGGTGGTGTTGATAGTGATGATGATGATGGAACACCAATTTTTGATGTGCTATGCTTTGAGGTGGAGTGTTGGCTTGGGGAACAGATACTGTATGTGTTCTGATACTCTCTCTCTAGACTTGAGAATGCAGAGATTCTGATATGAATGGCTGAAATTGCTTTTTGTAGTGGTTATGTTCTCTATGGTTACCAAAATACTGCATTTTATGCGGCATTAATGTTGATCCAACTTCAAATTATAATGCGTATTATATTCTTGTCTATTTAGATTCTGGTGTTTGACTTAGAAAATTGTCTTTCTACTTTAGTTTTCTTTTCATTTATAATATAGTCACATTATGCAAAGTTTTTTAACATTTCTTCTGTTTGCTTCTTTTGTTTCAACTTGGCCATTTGGTAAGTGGATTGTTTGGTACATTATAATGTATTATTTGGTTTGAGACTTGGAAAATTTTTAACAGACTATCCAAGAAAAAAATGTGGCATTGTAGATTTAACTTGCGAATAGAACTTAAAGAAAAATCAAGAATAACTAGCAAATAGTTTGAAAGATGTAGTTTATGTGATGCACGTGATAATGATTAAACAAATTTCGTGTTGAGGGTAGGTAGCCATAAGCTTCCCATAACCATTATAACATGTGGCGTATGCATAGATTTTTTGTGAAAGTTTTTCTGATGGTTCAGGATTTCATGGTTAATACAGATAGAATATTTCTATAGACTATGGTATCAGCCCTTCTGTAGCTGTATATTGTATTGGATCCTGCAAAATGTTATGATGATGGGTGTCAATTCGTGAGGATATCGATATGAAAATTTTGTGCATCACTGAAATTATGACTCAAAGCTTTTCTAGACTTGGCGAATTGTGTGACTTCACAATTATTATCTATTAACACTATCTGACAGACTTGCTAAAAGCACAACTATGTTTTCCTTTATGGCAGAGAAGGAAACACATTATAGGCACGTTTCTTTAGGAGCAAAAACTACATTGGCCATTAGAAGGTTCCAAGTAAATATATGAATAATCGAAAACTCAAAAGCTCATATCCCTTAATATACTCCTTTTCACATGCACATACAGACACTACACTGATGAGATGTCATAGAAGGGTGGGCTGCAATGGTATGAGAAATATACTGCCTTAGAGGTCTCATATATCTAGTGCTAATTCTGACAAAATATTTTTTTCACATAGATTTGTTATGAATATGCTACGGCAACATCAATTTGATTGAAGCCTTTTGCCATTGCAGCAAAGGTTTTCCTAGAGACTATTGATTGAAACCCTTTATAACTTTGGTAACCTTTGTATTTATCTTTAGTCCTTCCTAATTCATTTTTAGTTTTTATGTTCATCCTCTCTAAATGGCTTCATTGAAAGGAAAGTGAGCTAGAGTTTCATGTTTGATGTTTAAGAGTACTTCAATGTACCAATACTTGCAACTCTGGCTCCACTTTGTTTGTCATCTTCCCTTCGTCTTGGCCTTTATGTAGAAATATATATGTATGTACAAAACATGCAATATAATCTCATATAGTATAGTGTGACTTACTATAATTCAATAGGTTTTCATACTAAGAGAAAACGGAAAGCAAAATATCTACTCTCTATTCTGGAAAGATTAGCCAAGTGCAAAGGCATAAGAACTAGCTGATTTACAATAGTACAGTATGGTCAAAGCAAACCACATTTTGGATGACTTTTGCAATTTGCAAATCATTTTTTTTAAGACAAAACCTAAAGGAATTGTTATACCTCGTACTATCTCAATTCTCACAGTTTGAGTTTTCTTTTATATTTAATAATTATTTGTTGATAATATATGATTGGCCTCATGTTTTTCCATTTGCCAATTTGAGTTCATGGAACCCTTCTACTGATATGGGGGTGTTGGGGCTTTGTTTGGGATTTACAGGGCTAAAATTATCTAGAAGAGGTAAATGCTTCCTTGGTTACCTAAAATAGTGCCAAATGAGGACTTGTGTAAATTTCACTACTTTAGCAAGTTTTATGTTACGTTGGCTTCTTTTAGAGTTTAATTTATTGCATGTAGTTGCAACTTGTGGTTTCATTTGCTGGGTTTTTAAAATGTGGTACTTTAAGAAATTGGTATGTAATGGAAAGGATGTTGTCTTGGTGTTATTGTTCCATTGCATGGTGCCAAGAAGCTTGCAGAGAGTCCTAAGCATATGATTTGGTTTACCAAATGAGGAGACTACTCCAAGAAAGGAATGATCTTGAAATTAATGTTATTCCATCATACAAGGAGTCCAAATAGGGTTACAATTTTATTGAAAAGAAATAAGAAAAAAGGTGGGAATCATTTGCTGCAAGGCGCTTCTTTTTCTTTTTCCTATAAGTGGCAATGATATGTTATATAAAGTGAGAGTTTTACAAAAGTCCTACAAGATGTCAGGGTGGCCGCCCACAAGCCAAGTGCTTTACAAAAATGTACCAAGATTTTCCTTAGGCTTTAGTAGATCGAAGAAAAAGGAGTTGAGAGATAGAGATGGAGAAAGAGTGAGATTGTTAGTGAGAGGAGTCATTTGTTAGGCAGCCCACATCGATGGGTGCTCTACATTTTCTATGGAGGGTAGAGAGAGGAAGGATAGGTGAAGGGAGGGGAGGTTAAGAAAGTGGTGGAGAGAGAGATAGGAGAAGAGATTGGATAGAGAAAGTGGTTTTAGCCAGCTTGATATGATCCATTTGGGTTCTGAGCGGTCCCTTCGTTTGCCATGGCTTCTGCCTGATATGCCTCTCTATGGATGTGGCGGATGGTGACCCTCAGTTCCCTGCAAAGATGTTTTATATTGTTAAAATAGGGAATAGGAGCCAGAAACACACTGCCCTCAATGATGCCTATGCAATGACATTGCTGCTGCCACCCTCTTCAACGATCTCCATGGTACAGAAAGGACGTAGGCTTCTTAGCTTGCTGGAATGTATGTTTTTCAAGTTAGAACTCCATAATATGGCAAACACTTCACAACTACTTATTATGGAGAACCTTTATCAGGTTTCAAATTGTAGCACTTTAATGCTCTTGTTGCATTGTGTAACTCTTTGTTTCTCACTCTTGACTTGGCGTTTTGGCCTTGCCCCTTGGCCATGTTCTTGGCCTGGATTTCGTTCAAGAATTTGACATTTATTACAAAGAGATAACGAAATCATTCTCTTTATTAGTATTAAGTTTCATGATTAGTTCCCCCCCCAAAAAAAAAAAATCCGTTAGTTGGTTGAACATATGCATATCTTCAAAGTGCTACGTTTGCTCTTCAAAATGATGAATCGATCCATATTTTCATAGTTTGCCGTAGTTCATATATATATGCTCAAAACAAAAAAGAAGAGCAAGTCTCTAAAATGATGTAGTCAATGGTTAGCTTACAAGCAGGAGAATCTGTGTTGGTATATTTGTTGATACCTATTTGACATGCATATGATACCAAAATAGGAAAATATTTGTAAAGTAGGTGAGACAAAAGTGCAGTTATGTAGCAAGGTTGTTTCCAATTTGCTTAATATACGTAACAACTTACAATCAGAGCAGGTGAAAAAGATGCCTACAAACTAGCAAAAATGAGAGAGAGAGGAAGTGTAGGAATCTAGATCATTTTAAATGCATTAAGAGTGAAGATCAGAGAGTCTTGGTGAATGATGACAAAGTAAACAAAAGGTGGAGAATTTATTTTCAAAAAATGTTAAATGATTAACTCTATGTGAGCACAACTTTAGGAGCAATCCTTGACATAGATAAGGTCAGAGGTTATAGATACATTTGTAGGATTAAAATATCTGAAGTGAAAGAAGCTTCGAGAAAGATGAAGATTGAAAAGACTTTAGCACCAGATGGATCCCAATAGAGGTTTGGAAGTGCATGGGAGAGATTGACATATTTTAGTTGATCAAACTGTTCAACAAGATGTTGAGAACAGATAAATGCTAGATTAATGGAGGAAAAGTATTAAGGTACCTATTTACAAGAACAAAAAAGACATAGAACTTTACTAACTATCGAGGGATCAAACTTGTGAGCCACACTAAAGCTGTAGGAGAGAATGATTGAGCAAGGACTTAGACATGTAATGAGTGTATTGGAAATTTAGTTCAATGTTATGCTTGGGCGGTCAACAATTGAAGCTATTTTTCCACTTGGGCAATTGATTGAGAAGTTTAGGGAGATGAGAAACGACCTCCACATGGTCTTTATTGATTTAGAGAAAGTATATGATAAGGTACCTAGAGTTAATTTGGCGGGTATTGGAAAAGAAAGGAGTCTCTAAAGGATATATTGATATGATGAGATATATACAAGAGAGCACTAACTAGTGTGAGGACAACTAGTAGAGGCAAACAAGTTTTTAGTGACATTAGGCCCACATCAAGGGTCAACATTGATCCCATAAATCCTTGTTTTGGTTATGGATGAGTTATTTAGGCATCTACAAGATGATGTAACATGTTTATGTTGTTCGTGGATGAGAGTTTTGATTGATGAGGCTAGACCCAACATTAATGCCAAGTTATAACTTTGGAGGGATGCTTTGTTATCTAAAGGTTTTAAAATTAGCCAAACTAAAAATTTAGTAATAATAGAGTAGAAACAAGGTAGTAGTTACAATTGATGGCCAAGAAGTGTCTAAAAAAGATTGATTTCAATATTTGGGGTCGATAATCCATGAGAATGAAAGATCAACCAAGATGTCACACATAGAATTAGAGCTTGTTGGGCGAAGTGGAGATATGCTTTCGGAGTTTTATATGATCACTGCGTACCATTGAAACTGAAGGGGAAGTTTTATAGGACAGTTCTAAGACCAGTCATACTTTATGGAATGGAATGTTGGGCATTCAATAAACAACATATCCGTAGAATGAGTGTAGCTGAAATAGGTATGTTGAGATGGATATGTGGAAAGATAAAAAATGATAGAATTTAGAATGAATACGTCCGAGAGAACTTAGGGGTGGCTCTAATAGGCGATGAGATGAGGAACAATAGACTTAGATGGGTTGACCATGAGCAACATCGACCTAGAGTTGCATCAGTTGGGAGGGGTGATTTGGTTTAAGTGGAAAGCTCTAAAAGGGTAAGGGATCTAGAAGGACATGGGTGGAAGTATTGAGAAGAAATATAGTGGCGCATATCAAAATTTGGTGGCTTTTTTGTTAATTTTTTTCTTAGAGTTTGGGTAGAATTTTTATTTTTATTTATTAGGATTAATTATTAAAATTAGGAATTTTAGGTTTAGGTTGA